AGATGTTTATGAGTTGATCCTTGATTATGCAGATGCCACTATACGGTTGCAACAGAATGTCTATTGTCCTTTTGTGTTGAAATTTGACTAATAAATTTCCAGTTTAGCAATTTGCGACGGCTGCCATTGCCACGATACTTCCATTACTTTTTATTTCAAGGCCTGTCTAGCCTCGATCCTGTTTTGAACTGAAAATGAGCGGAATGTTGGCAGAAGTGCATGAAAGTTATATCACCTGGTTGTATATGGACTTATTATGCACAGGTTTGCGTTATAATAACATCTTATACATAAACAATTGTTCATGCATAGGTGGTAAATGGAAAAGTGGAGAAAGTTTAATTTCTCTCTACAGTGTTTTCAAAAATTGGGCTGGAAAAACATTGCTTTTGTTTTAATAGAAATCAAAACATGGGTGATTTTTTAAACAATGAGAGGCGATCTATCAACATTATTTTGCTCTAGAACCATGCTTGGTGTGTCTGGAATGGTTTTTGGTTCCGACATGGACTTCTCCGGCTTCTCTTCTTCTGTTGAATTCAAAACATCGGTGAAAATTTCAAATCTTGACCAAAGCTGTCTGGATGGCTTTGATGGCAAGCTCGATGTCCTAGACAAGTACTATTGTGGTTTTGCAGATTTTCCGGTCTCTACAGGCGATGTCTGGCTTTGGACTCGGAACATGGTGAAATTTTAAATTCTCTGGTATCTTCTCATATGACTATTTATACCTTGTTGACACACAAAAATTCTTAAACCTTTTGGCGATACTTTCCGTGAATAAAAACTATGTTATTGCACAATATTATTGTGTGCCACATATTTTTCTTTTCCACCATTGGTTAAAGTGATTACTACTATTTTCAGTGCCATTTCGTGCGACATCAATTCTCCGGAATATCACCATCGTCCCCTTTTATCGAAAAGGTACAATTTGGCGTAACCCTCGATCGCTCATAAAAGAACATAAACAATAAATTCGTTTTTATGAAGCTTACCTTAAAAAAACATATGATTACTGCTAATGAATAATTCCAACAAAGAGATTTAAGCGAAAAATTTTTCCCTTTCATTTAAAATGATACTTTTTCAGGAAACTGCACTGTAATTGTTATATCGAACTTGCAGAATATTCAATTAAGGAAGCGAGGCTGGCTTTCCTGCTGATTTAAATAATAAATCCCTTTCTATTCTTTTCTGGTGTCATAAACAGAGCGATCCTGATTTACGACGTGACGATTAATCTATGGCGATCCTGCAGAAAATATGCGAGGCCTCCCTTCAGCCAATTGGTTATTTCTACCACACAGAAATAAATTTAATAAAACCAGTCTGGTACCATGCTCCACATGACATACGACAACTTTGACCTTCCACAGAAATTAATATCATTGTTCATTTTTAATAAAGGGAGGTTCGGTTTTATGTACTTTTTTGTATCAACATTTCATAAAAAGATTAATAAATTTGAGTATCTTATGGATCAATAATTATCATCCTTTATAGTGAAAATTAAAGTTTTCGGTATGGTTGATTAAGAATTTGAAATAAAATGGATACTAATATTTAGGAAAATGGGAATGTATGGCGAGTGAGGAGATACTATAACACTGAGGACCGAATTTCCACACTGAATACCGTAGATTCTGCAACCTATTAAGTTTTATGGGCAAAAATCACCTCGAGGTGTAACATAACCTCAAATATCATATTTGAGGTTATGTCTTAAACATTGAGTTCTTGGCAATTTTAGGTTATGAGCAATATTCGGATTCAGTGCGTCAAAAACCCGGGAAAGTGTAATCAGGTTCCTGTTTAGAAGGTCGGTCACACTTTGTCGACCAGAACTTATCAGCATTAGAGTTAATATTGTATTCAACGTTACTGATACAATTTAAGTTTAGGTATATTTATTTTATTTCACCTAAATTTTAATTTCTTAACACTTACACATTGTGTGTTTTCATTTCTGTACCGAGTAGCATATCAGCTATCTCTAAAATGATAAAAGTCACGTATGTATACACAATGTCGTTTCTGTAGTAAACTCTGTTAATAATTAATATTTGTAACTGTGCTGTTTTATTACAAATAATTTCATGTCGTATGGATTAAAAGAGAGAGACTGCAAAGTGGGATTACTATTATTAGGTAATCCTATTTACAGCTCCTGTACTGCTGTTGCAAATGGAAAAACTCAATTGCTTTTTAAGCTTTATAACCCTGCTCGAATGTGCAGTCGCAAGCTACGAAATCATAAATCGTGTAGTCATTTATAACTTTAATCTTAAAATATCTCGTTAGTTAAGAGGTGAAATTGCTTCCTCCTTCCTCAAACCACATTTTATGTAAATGCCACGAATTGATTGAGTCGATTAATATAACTGTAGCTTGTGGATACAGTAAGTTTTATAATATTAGGTATAGACTAAGAGCCGGATAGGAAAATTATCTTAAATCATTTTAGGCACCGTAAGAATATATGACTTAAATACTACAACCTAAAAGAAAACAGTTGAGTACTGTGCCATCAATTCTTCTTGGCACTTGGATTGTCAGCGGAAAATCAAACTTTCCAATTTTGAGCCGGGAATATTAATTAAATAGAAATTGACGGCATTTCGACCCAAGACAGATATTAGAAAAATAAGACATAAAAACCTTATGCCGTACAAAAATAACGGTTCTGGAAAGAATAAAAAATTTTCATACTGGCGTTTTGCTACACAAC